ATAAACTTGAATAATAAATTAACAATAATATCATTGCCTTCATCGTCGCGAGGAAATTCGGTTTCATAATCTTTTTCTCGTTTTCCATAATTTTTTACTATTCGTCGGTGATACGTTCTCAAACATTTGTACCATTCGTTTCCTTTTATTTTCGTGTTACTTTCGTTCGCAATGGTGTACGGTAAAAGATAATAAATTTTATCCTTCCAGATGTCACAGAATCGGATAAAGTGAAGTTCGAAGAACCAAGAGATTCGACGAGCGGATCGATTGGGGCGGCCGGCGGTAGCAATAAACGTGCTAAAAACAAAAAGAGACGCGAAACACAACAAGAGTTCACGCATTCTTGGGTGGTTGGCGCGCTGAAGGGACACACGGGCCCTGTCCTCGACATGAATTTTTCCAGTAATGGAAAATTCATTGCATCTTGTGCTGAAGGTATGTACCAATAAATTAAATAAAAATTCGTTCATCGGAAGGTCTCTATCGACATATTTTTTTTATCGCAAAATTTCTGTATTTTCATAAAAGTAAGAACCGGTAAATGATTAATTTTTTTTTTTTTTCAATTTATCGAACGAAATACGTCTTTATAATATTTTATTTCGAAAGAAACAAGAAATACATCGTTAAGTAGAACGTATTATTTAATTAGACGATATTTCGATTATCTTGGAAAGTTGCACAACCTTGAAGTTGAGAGAACTACTCGTGAGTCATAAATCGAACGAATGAGATTCATTTTGGAGACTTTCTGACGATGGATAGCCGCGCCATTGCAACAATTGCCGGTATTGCGCGAGAAAAAGCGATAAAAAAAGTTATGTCTCCGATAGAGCCACCCGAAGGACGATCTCTTATGTTTTTTTTTTTTATTTCTGTTTTTCTTTTCTTCGTTTCTTTTAAATTCCCTCGGCTAATATACGTATTACTCCGTTATAGTAGAATAATTTTTTTTTTTATTTTTATTCGAGATAAATAATTCCGGACTTTTACTTGTTGTTTTTCATGCGATGAGCTTTTTTTTATTTTTTTCTTTATTTGCATGTATCGTATATTGCTATATCCGTATTGTTGTGCCAATAACAATAGTCGATTTCTGTCTCTGCTTGCACCGTTTTCACGATTTACAATTTTTATACACTCTCTTGAAAAGTTTTTTTCTTTTTCGACTTGGTTCATCGTAGTTATCCACCGATGTTGAAGATAAACGTGCATTAAAATAAATTTTTATTAAGTTATTGATATTTTTCAAATTAGCAACATAAAATCTATGGAGATACGGTTAGAGAATTTATAAAATTTGAAAGAAAAATAGTTTCTTCAAAATAGTTAAAAAATTTATTTCTAAATACTCATCTTATTCGTTATGTTACAATTTTTCGTCTAGAATAGAGGTAGATGGCAAAATGTAGGTCGTTCGAGTGAAATCAAGTTGTCAGGTCTCCGTGCTTTGGTTTCTCGAAAAATATCTATCCGTCTCGATTGCTTTTTACTTTTATCGTTCGCTTTGGATTTACATATATTTATTATTGTATCAAGTTATTTTAATTAGCCTTACTTGCGGGAGGGTTAATTTCAAAAGAAAAATAAAATAGATATTCTTTTTATCCTCTTATGTGTTATCGATCCACTTGAAGAAGAACATATAGTGAAAGTATAAAAATAATGGAAAAATCACTCGCGCCTAACGACTACTTTCACTATTTCATCTTTGAAATCAAAACAAGATCAAATTCCCCGATTTCTCATTGCTAGTGATACCAGATATTTCAATTTATTTTAATTATTTAATCTTCATTTTATATCTAAAAATTATATCGGATCTTAGGTCTTTAAATGGGAAACAACGAAGCATAAAATGCATAAAATTAAAACGAACTATATTCTCTTAAAATTAAATTAACAACTTACATGAAATTTTAAGAGAATTTAAGAATTTTTATTTTGTTCAGTGTAGTCTCTCGTTTTACGTACGTTTCAGCGCATCCTGCGCGCGCATCATAAAGTATTTCGTAATATGGCGTCGTGTAAGGATTAAAATATTTGAACAGCTCATTGTGTCGTCTCCTTTAATGGTTCACATTGTGACGATCGTGGGTGACCCGTTGGCCATGGAAGATTTTCGTGAAGTCGATTCGACTTCTCGTCCACGCCGAGTTTCTCTTCTTTCGTTTCTCCCGCCGTGTTTAACCTCGAATCTACAATCGGAGGTATGTTGTGCCACGTGTATATACGCGCGTGTAACATTACAAAGCATCGTTGGTATATGAATAATAAGAGCGGTCTCACGCTTTTTCATTGTTCTCATAAATTTTCTTGGAAAATAGATCTTTTTAAAACTTTTAAATATTTTTAAATTTAACTTTTAAATTTCTCTAACGTATTTTTAACCTATTGGAATATCATTTTCCAAGAATAATTAAAAAGAACTATGAGTAAAATTAGAAATATTTACATAATAAAATAATTTGATGATTACATTAGTTGGATAACTTCCATCGAAATCGTTTGCCTAATTTCCCGCGAAATATTCGCCGTAGTATCGTTGAAAGATTATTCGGTAATTAATGTGAGTCATCAGTCATGCCTTAACCGCGAAATCGTATATCATGAATCATTCTATCTTTCGGATATTCGTAAAGCAAATAATCAATGATAATCGCGACGATATGTATCAATGATAATATATATTAGCAATGATGGAAAGCGATCTACGTTTTAAATGTTCTTTCTGAATCGTGAATCTGATCCAAAGTAAACTTGAAATTGTTCGTGGGTTGGGATAAATTTAGAAAACGGCTAATGAACTTGTGAGCAATTTTTCAAATCATCGTTTCCGTTGTATTTGCGATTTTTTTTTTTTTTTGCATCACCTTATCTATTCTCCTTCAATTTTTCCAATTATCGATATTATTAATAATTAATTATTATTGTTTCGTTTTAATAATATTTTCGTAACGTAATGAAAAATTTCACGGAATAAAATATATAAGTAAGATCGATCGATTATCTCGAGTCTAATTCTATGAAACGATATATAGAATTCGGGGCCAGTGGCTGGCTAAGTTGCTGCGTCGCTATCACCTTTCCGATGCGCGAACGTAACAAGCGCGGTTGTAACAGCCTAATAATAGCGCGACGTGGGAAATTCTCTGGCCTTAAATCAAGCCCACACGCCGAGGCGATTACTTATGCTCGCACGGTGACTCGATGAAATAGCTCCGTCATAAGCCAATAATTCGGCGAACAAGATTATCGAATGATCAATCAAGTCAGTCATGCTTTCTCTAATGAAATCTCATTATTATACAGTCAAATTCTTCGTTTCGATCACTTTTAATTCTTCACTGATATTACTCTTTTATTCCTTATCTTTTGTTGTATCAAGTTCGATAAAAACACGATGTAGCACTTCATAAACATTATATGGTTTAATCAACTCATAACGTTTTTTTCACTGTTTGTAAAAGATGCTCGAGATCGTTAAAAAAAAAATTATCGTTACATTTCCTTCATACGATCGTATTTCCAAAATAAGAATATCTAAGAGTCGAGCTCTTTTCATTCTTCGGTTTTATCTCTCTTTGTTATTTTAATTCAGAGAGCGATTCATTCTCGTAATTTTTAATCGATTCGTCGCGTTGGCAAGTTTTCTTAGACTTCGCGGTTCCCTTTCCCCCACTTTGGCTATTATTCACTACTCACGCGAAGGCCGGGATTTCCTCGAAGAATCGTGGAACGCATCGGATGATTTCATTAAATGACGCAACGGTATACATCGAAGCCGGTCATTCCTGCGAACGGGGATACCGTGTTCCGTTATCCGAGTCACCGAGTCTCTTTTTTCGTCCCTTTTTTTTCTCCTTTCTTTTCCCTTACCTCAAACGTGCGGGAATCCTCGCACGATTGTGTCGCCCTCTTTCGAGAAACCGGCCATACGAGCGAGAAGCTTTATTGCAACGCTCGTCGTTCGACGTCATTTTTTGCGTCAAGGAAACCGATAAATTCGATGCAACATATTTTTCTTTTCCTCCTCCTGGAATTTTTTAGAATACGACGTAGTTTCTGACGTAAACTAATTAATCTAATTTTATCACATCGATTTCTTGGTTTCTCGTTTCGTCAAATGGGAAAATTGAAAGGAAAGTTTTTATATTTCGTTCTCTATCGTTATATTCTACTCTATATCGAGACATAGGAAATACGATAAAAATATTAAAATTGTATCCAAGAAATGTATCCACTTGGTTATGATCCATAAGAAAGTACAAATAATATTTGTTATCGATTATATAAAATTTTTTTCGTTCTTTCGAAATCTAATAGATATAATAAAATTTCTCTAATCCGAGAAAGCAATTTCGTATATATATATATATATCTTTAAGAAATAAAATATAAAAAGTTTCTTCGCATCGCTCCTTCGTATTTTTTCTCTCTCTTTTTTTTTTTTTTATTTCATTTCCATCGAAAAGAATCGTGTTATTTCTATACCGCTAAAAAACAGAGAAAAGAAAGCGACCCTTTCCACGCGTGACGCGTTTGGCGAAAGTTGCGTATTACTGAATAAACAAGAAGCGTTAAAACGGTTCACCTTTTATTGGCCGCCCGCTTTTTGTGCTTTGGCCTGTAACGAGAGCGCAACGCTATTCGATCATGTTTTTTTTTCTTTTTTTTTTTTTTTTTTTTTCCC